CTCCCGGGTCAGCTGGGGGCAGAGACAGCTGGGGGACGGGGGGCGCGGTCACTTCGGCTCCCAATCGCGTTTTAATTACTAGAAAAAACTTCTCCCAGTTTTTGATTGTTGTTTGGTTTTGTTGTGTTTTTTTTTTTTTTACAATAGAGTTACCTTCCTGGGACCTTTAAATTGAAGAACGGTTTAGGTAAGCGTCTCATTTACCTATCTGCAAGGTGTGTTCCTGTACTTAAGTCGAAATTTGCCAGTTATAGCCAGCAAACTGGAAAATCTCAACGTGAAGCAGCCAAAAGCAGCCTGAAAATGTACAAATGAGGCACGGTTATGACTCAACATTATTCTTTGTTACTTCAACAGGAAGAAAGTTTGATTAAACTTTGATTTACATTAATTAACAGAGCTACTGCCTATAGCACTGCTGACATCTGCCAGGAGAGGGCTCTATAGCCATAGTGATAAGAGAAAAACTGCCCCACTGTTCACCATTATTTATGCTAGCTAAAAAAAAGTGGCTTAAAATGCCCTGCTGGATCCATAAATTCCGAACCAAGAAGGAATTTTGTGGGTCTTAAGCACAGACCAAAAAAGAGCTACGGAGTCAAAGCTCGGCCTAAGATCTCCGTGGCAGAATTAAATGAATGTATCCACAAGTGTTCCTCTGCTGCTGTGGCTGCGAGTCCCTGACTGCAAATGCTCCAGATACTCCCCCTTGTACCTTACTGGAAATCGGTAACAAAATGCTAAGAATAGCCTGGAGAGGGCAGAGGATTCAGTCCTCTCAGCAAAACAAGGTCAGAGGGGAGAAGTGGTGTTTGCTGCTGTTACAAGCATTTTGAAGCCCCGATTATGAGCTTTTCACATTTGCTTTCTCAGCTGGAGTTTTAGTGGCAAATGCAGCACAGCATCACGGTGGCACTGCACCCACTTAACAAAGCCCTGTAGCAGCATCCGTTTCAAAGACCACCTTCTTGCACTCGCCCACTCCTTTTTCCTCGTTCTCGCCATTTATTTTCAGTCCGTTCAGTTGTGCTGCTTCATCAGTCTTTGAGGTTGGTGCTCTAAATCAAATTAAGTTTTGAGGTGTGGTGAGTTTTTTAAAATTCTAATTATGTCACTGATTGATTTAAGAATATGTCCCTGACAGTAGTGGTGTTGGCCAAACGGTGGGGAGAATAAACTGTAAGAAAGAGAGAGAACAAGTAGCAGGAGAAGACAAACTAAGCTTACTCCTCAGGTAACAAGCAAGGCAAGCCCAAACCCTCAAGCTTCAGTGATGCTGCTGTTGTTGTCATCCTTTAGTGCCTTTGTTTGCTTAGCTGGGCTTTTGAAGCCTATGAAAAGGGGAGAGAGAAGACCAGCCCATGCCAAAAAGTATTGGTAAGCAATGACAGTAGGATAACATTGAGAGCTATAAAGCCACGCCTCTATATCAAAAGCAATGTTTTGACAGTAGTATCTTAGATTTCACTTTGTATTATTCTGTGTCCTAGTGCCAGGCATGGTAATGGATGAAGACAGCCTGATGATCCACATCAATAAAAATGTCTATGAAGTTCTCCAGGAAAGAGAGGGCTGTCTGAGAACCCTCATTCAGAACAAGTTTGCTTGTACGTTGACCTTCGAAAGTACAAAATGCACTGGTGAAGTATACAGGAAAACACTAAAGCAGGGAACTGACATTTGTGTTTGTAAGGATGATCTCACAAAGCACCAGGCCGATGCTTTGGTGAATGCAGCCAATGAGCGTCTTGATCATATAGGAGGCCTTGCTTTAGCCCTTGTGAATGCCGGAGGGCCAGAAATACAAGTGGAAAGCCATCGTCATATTCGAGAGTCTGGAAGACTCTCAGCTGGCAAAATAGCAGTGACAAGTGGAGGGAAGCTTCCTTGTAAGAAAATTATTCACGCAGTTGGTCCAAGGTGGGAAGCTTATGAAAAGGAAAAATGTTGTCTCCTGCTTCAGGAAGCTATTGTGAATGTTCTGAAGTATGTTAGTGATGAGAAAAATGCTGTCAAGTCTGTGGCTATTCCAGCAGTGAGTTCAGGTGTTTTTGGCTTCCCACTCGGTTTGTGTGCTCAAGTGATTGTAATGGCTATAAAGGAGTTTGTTGAGAACCATCAACCAAGCTGTCTCAGGGAAATCCGCCTGGTGGATGCTTTTGAGCCTACAGTTGCAGAAATGAAGAAGGCCTGTGAAAAGTTTCTAGGTGACACCAGTTCACTTCAGCAAACTCTTTCGGCTTCACCAAGCCAGCCTTCAGCTTTCATCAAGGACGGAGGCATTCGCCTGCGTATCATAAAAGGAGTCCTTGAAGAGCAGAAGGTAAGTCTGTCCCATAATATGTTGAACATGGAGTTGTCTCCAAGTTTTGCAGGATTTGGAGCCCAAGAGTTCAGAACACATACTGTGTCAGTCCACTGAAATAGTTCTCTCCTCAGCCTGATGAGAATTTACAAACGGTAGATAACTTATAGCAGCAAAGAGTTGTGGTTTGTTTGTTTTTTCTTTCTAAATGGCTATTAAATGTTAAAAAGTCTTTTTTTTTAATACATGCTGTTATGGTCTAATAAGAAGCAGCTAAAGATTGGATGATTAATAATAATATATGCCTATGTTAAAGTTTATCTTCTTATATAACATCATGGGAGTTCACATTTTATCATGCATTCCCTATGCGTTATTTTTTTGCCTTGCTTTTTTCCCTGTAATTTATGTTCTCATAGATGCCGTTACCGAAGTTATTCAGCAAACACCAGAACAAATGACAATAACTTAGATGATGTGCACCTTATCTTTAAACACTGCATCATTTAAACTGATTCATTTAACTTTTTACCTAAAAAATCTGAGCCAAAATATATGACCTTAGCCATAATAATCCAACAGATCTCTTAGGCTGGGAGCTACATCACAGGAATGGCATGGGCTATTAGTCTATTTTTATTAAGAAAAATTATAACTTTTACTTTAAATAGTATCTTAATTGAATAGGACGTTTATTTTTTTACATGGGAGCAAAGGATCACAAAGTTGACACTGTGGGGAATTTTATTAACCAATTCTACAGCACTGAAAGATACCACATGCCTTCAGGTCTCTGCTCCAAATTCTTGTATCTTTACATAATCTTCAGCAGTTTAAGCTAGAACAATGACTGCTGTTATCAGCATTCTGTAAACGAGTTTTTTGCATTTTACATATTTAATCTGAAATACAGAAGACCTGCTGTGGGGATCTGCTGTTCCCACTGCTGCTTGTCCCTATTGTTCTTTTTATAAAGTTTTGACTAAGCTTTTCTAATGTTTAGAGAGATTATTTTATAATGAGTTATGGAAATACCTTTACAAAAATAATCCGCTTTTGTCCTTGGATGAGAAATTTTAAGGGAACTGGAAGCCACCATGGCTTTGCAGTTCCCCTGTGTGCGCTGACCCTGCTAGTTCAGTGACGACTAATGTGAGCAGCGGGTAACAGCAGCCAGAGGTCTCTCCTGCTCATTGATAACCAGCTGCAGAACTGCGTTTCCTCAGGCACACAGGGTTCAGTTCTACAGCTGTGGTAATAATTCTGCTGAGTGCACTCTGATGATCTGAACGGGGTGTTGGCTTCCAAAAAAAAACCCGCTTTGATGTATTCCAGCACTGCCTTTGTGACTAAGCAGTAAGAGAACCTTTCGAACAGCTCATCTGCTGCAGCCAGGCTTTTTTTACGGAATTGTTCCTAGAAAGAGTGCTTTTGATAGTAGGAAAGCTTGCAAAGAGTAGACTTGAAGTATACTGAAACTTTGCACTTTTTTCTTCCAGACTACAGCTGTTGTTAATTCTGTGTCTGTGAGTGGCGAGCCTTACCAGGCAGTTTCACGAGGACTGCTGCAAAAAGCAGGTTCAGCTCTTCAGGATGAACTTACACGTCAGTTTAGACACGCTACGTCTTACAAGGAACTCATAGTAACAGAGGGGTATAATCTGCCCTGTGAGTTTGTCCTGCACATTGTATGGCCGCTGTACCGTCACAGGGTATTGCTGTGTGAGGTAATGATCAGTTAGACTGGATTTTAATTGATTTTTCATGTTGAGTGATGTCAGGACTGAAACACTTGTTTTTCCTGCAGGCATTAAGTTCTGCAGTGAGAAGATGCCTGAATCAGTTTCGGGACCGGCCATCTTCCTCCATTTCTTTTCCACCAAATGGGATTTGGTCATTAATGCTGCCTGTTGATCTAGTGGCAGAGATCATGATCAGAGAGGTTTTAAATTTTGGCAGGGAACACCCGGAGAAGAAGATGGAGGTGCAGTTTGTCTTTAACGTAGATGACTACGAAGCCTATCAGGTAATAAATTTCTTTTTTTAAGTACCAGTAAGGAAAACCCCAAACTGTAAAAATACTCCCATAGATGACTACAAATTAAGATAATCTGAATTCTGTACTACTTAGAACATTTGTGAGCAGAAGGTCACTTTATGAAACTACTTGTTTCATTACGAGGTATTATTTATCTTTACGAATCCTTATTTTCTCTTCACTAAACCAGAAGTCTTTACCCTTAAGAAGAGGAGTGAGCTCTGAAAGTCTTGTGACTGTCATGGAATGTGTAGGAAAGGGAATAAACTCATTCCTCCTCAGGAAATTTCTTAAACTTTTTCTTTTTTTTTAAATTAAGTTCCTTGGGCAAAACACTATCAACACATTACATGACGTAAGATGATACAAGGGTTGCAAACAGTGGGTAATTTCACCGGCAGTGTGCTGTGTTCCACTTTTGGGATATTTGGCTGATGTGATTAATACACAGCTATTTTAGATAGCCATCACTTACAAAAGTAACACAGTTTGCTTCTGTTCCCATTTAACTTCAGCCATCCATTGCTTCAATGGGTGCAAGAACTAGATGGGGGGGAGGGGGGCTGGAACCAGATGATCTTTTAAGGTCCTTCCAACTACAACTTTAAACTGCTTATCCAACAGAGTTTTGAAGAAACAAATTGTGTATTTGACAAGAAATTGCAGACTGCTACTAAACTTTTCTTTTTCAAGGTTTTCCAGAAAAAATTTTACGCAGCAGAACAAAAACTGGATAAAAAGGAGTATTACAACAGAAGTGATCATTTGAGTAAGTAATGAACACAGTGGGCATTTCACATACAGGAGCACTCCGGATTTGAGAATCTGAAGTCACATGCCTTTAAAAAGAACTTGGTATTTACATATAGGTCTTGTGGAAAAGGGGAGGCAAAAATGTGTGAGCTTTGCACTTTTATGTTAGTAGGGACAGGACTGGGCAGTCTCTTACAAGATTTTCAAACATAAGAACCATCATCAGTGCCTAACTTGTTGGAAGTCATGTACTGGAAGGCTTTCTGCATGTGGCTATTTTTTCTTTCCTGGAAATCTTAACTCCTGGTATCGAATCTTTTTATTTGCATATTTTTCAGCATATCAGAAGAGTTGCACTTCTTGCACAGTACATTTTGGAGTACCTGTGGGAATTTGTGGTGGCATTTGAAAGCTCTTCACTCTTTCTATGTCCATATATATATAAAAAAAAAATTTAAAAAAACCCCTCGCTTTCTTCCAGGTACAGGCAGTAAAAGCGTACAAGAGACTGCAAATAACGAGCCAGCTATTAAACTTAGAGGGAAGACACGTACAGCATTGGAAGCAGCAGAATCATGGATCCAAAGCGTAGTACAAATTTGGAAAAGTCACCAAGCTATTATTGAAAACAACTTCATTTTTAGCCTCGGTAAAAAAGAGTTTGCAGAGTTATCTCAAGAGCAGTGTTCTAGCGTATGTGTAGAGGAAAAAGTGAGAGGTGGAAGAGCCAGACTGGAATTCCAGGGCCCTCCTGATGCTGTGATTGATGCAGTGCTCACAACTGAAAAATTGCTGCTTCGTATGCAAGAGGAGACTATAGCCGAACAAAAGAAACTGCTGGACATATTTGGTATGTAAATAAGTGACTAATCAAGTCAATAATTAAGGTCAAGTACAAAGCAACGTGTATCTGTGTATTGCGGAGAGCAGACAGATCTGCATTCAGCTCACACACGTACCGAGCATTCCTTTAATCACTGATATTATTGTACTTTTTATCATGTCAGTCCCTGAAAGACCATTCGTTAGTCTGGGTACTCACTTGGCAATATCCCTTAGCAGGGCACAGCTGTAACGCTGCCTTCCTCCAGGACAACTTCACCTGAAAGCCTGGCCACTGGAGACTTAGCAAATCTGTGCTTAATTGACACATACCTTTGCTGAGCTCTTCTGCGAGTGAGAGCTGGAGCACGGTTGCAGGACTCACCAATGGACTCATTCTGCAGAGTCCTTGGCGTTCATTAAGTCGGTAGAACTAGTGGCCTTACAAAAAGCTATGGAGTGATCCTTTTTTCCTCCTGTTTGTATAGTCAGTCAACAGAGGTACTGCTATGTGCAAGTTGGTCTGTGGAGAGATATAATGGAGAAGATAAATTGCTTTTCTTTGATTCCCTCTTTCTTTGGTTTCTTTTAATGTAGGAAAAAAATGAATAAATGAAAAAATATAAATCTCAGTCCCTTTCAATATTAGCCTCTGGCATTAACATTCTTTGTTCTTAACTGAACTACCGAATTAAAGAACTGGATCTGTCCTTCTTGCCTTTGCTTCAGATATTATATGAAAATTTTACTCCTTTATTGGTATCCAGGCCAACAAAGAGGAGGTCAGCTTGCAGAAGGACAGCTTCACAAGACAAATACTACTCAAAGCATCAAGATTTCAGTGGTAGAATCACACCTTCAGGACTTTAAAGACAGAGAGGAACAGTTTGAAAAAGCTGGGCTTCAAGTTCTCAAGGTAAAGAGGATATTAATGAAAAAATAAATCCTAGTTGATATATTTGAAGTAATGTTTAACATATACTTAAAAACTCAAACTACTTCAATACGTTGCTTTTAAAAATTAAGATCAGCTTAATCCTTAAAATAATGTAGTCTTTACTCCTAATAAAAATTATTTTAGATATAATGCTAATAATTACTCAAAAAGTTTTGTTAAATTCTGAGAAGTTCTTTTAACTGAACTTTATATTCTGTCTTTTATTTCATGCTCCAAATGCTCCTTTGTGAGACTCTAGAGAAATAGGATATGGGTATGTTAGAGTGAGTACAACATTCCAGGACACTGGAATGCATCTCCATTTTCTTCTTGTGAGCTTGACAGTAAAAATTAGCAATTGAGTCAGAGTTCTGATCTGGTTAGTAGCTGGGATCTTGCTTGGCTATCAGTGCTTTACTGAACGGGAGGAGGAGGAGGCTGTGCAACACAGAGAAGGTCATCAATGGGGATTTGTGAGCCTGGTAGTAACAGCAGGTAACTGGGTACCTGCCTCCTGTTGAACTGCCTTTCATGGGAGAAAGGCATTTAACACTGAAATAAAAGCAAATACCAACCTAACAAAAGCATGTGCTCTGTGAACTGCAGAACTAAAGACTTTGCTGAGCCTCCACGCAAAAGCTAGATTGGAATTTAAAACCATGCTGCGCTGAGGATCGGTCATAGCTCAAGTAAATGACTTTTAAGAGAGCAGAAGCTTGATTGTGCTCCTGCACCTGCCTGTTTTTTGCTGTGCAGTTGGCAGCTGGCATGAGCAGGCCCCTGGTACTGACACTTCTGCCACAGGACTGCAGCTGGCCCGCTGTGGAGGCAGGTCTGCCAGCGAGAGCTGCAGTGTAGCACATTCAGGTTCTGCGTGGCTTCG